ACGGCGGACAGCAACTCTAATCCTTCAAGCTCCCGCTCGCAAGAAGGACTTAGTGCCCGGACATCGAAGACTCGACAAACGACCCCGCAAACACTCGCCAAGACGTCCGATGACTTCGTGAAACTGCAAGTACGTGACACCTTTTCTGCTCGTCGTCAACCACATTAAGCCTAGCCGACGTATCCGCAAAAAAAAAAAAAAAAACTATGAAACCGACGGACATCCAAAGTCTGACCAACATCGTCGCTCAACTCGCTCTAACAGTACAACAGCTGGCGGAAAGCCAAAGACAGCCGGTACAAATTACATCAACGGCGAATACCGCGAATGCGATCCCCAAATTTACCGGTGATCCGTTGGACGACGCTAAACAATGGATCCAAGATGTGGAACGGATCGCAGCTCAAGCGTTATGGACCCCCGCACTGACGCTCCTGAACGCTACATCTCGACTCTCAGGCCTTGCAGCCAACTGGCAAAAGACGAACGGAAAACACCACCACGAGTGGGAAGAGTGGAATCGAGTTCTCATTGAACGATTTCGACGACGACTTTCGATGAAGGACTTCATCGAGCTACAGGCAAAGAGGACGCTAAGGAAGAACGAGACCATGGTCCAGTACATTTTCGAGAAGGACGCCCTCCTCGAGAAGTCTCCACATCCCCTGACCCCCGAGGAACGCATATCAATGATCATCGGCGACATCAAGGATACAAAGTGGTCGATCCCGCTTGCTTCTCACCTCTACTCCTCCGTGACAGGATTAGTCGACGGAGCAGCAACACTCGACGCGCTGCGACAATTGGAAAAAGAAGGAAGCAACGACAAGAAAGACGCAGGAACAAGAGAGAAGCCATTCCTCCACAAGTTCAACCCAAAGTCAGGCGACAAGACCGAAAATCTGCACTGCTGGAGATGCGAAAAGAAGGGGCATATCTCGCATCAGTGTCATCTTCCACCTCCAGAAGCAGGTAGTGCACTCGCAGTACCAGCCGACGGTGAAGCTGCTACACCGACACACCAAAGGAACGTACACCAACGCCGCAGTAATGATGCTGGCACAGCCCACCACAACCATGCCAGCAACACACGCCTTCCTTGTTCTCCAAGTGATTCAACCAATGGTTCAACCCAGGACGCGAAGAAACCAAATGCCCGCTACTCTGTGAACTGCTTGTACACCGAAGGTCCTCGCACACCGATCGTCAACGCCATCATTAACGGCACAACTACAGTGAACGCTCTCTGTGATTGTGGATCAGAAGTCACGCTAATCAGAAAGCATGTTGCACCACCCGAACTACCAGTGTTCAAATGGCAAAACGGACCAATCGAGACAGCAGCAGGGCCCATTACACCCGCCGGATGGATCACCCTGCGTGTCAAAGTTGGGAACATTGATTACACCATGCCACAAGTGGGACTCTGTGAACACCTGCCTGTTACCCTTGTTTTGGGTAATGACTGGAAATGGTTTGTGCAGGCCCGGTACATCATTGAAGCAGACGGAAGCTTCTGCATCACGACTCCGACATCCATTCAGGAATTCACTCGCTTCAAAGCCCAAACGCTCACCGCAAACTGCATCTTCAAATCCAGGCCAATGGAGGCAGCACTGCTAACCGATGTGGCACTAGCACCTAGGGCCACAACAGAGACCTTGTGCTCAACCAAGTCAACAGAGCCGCTACCGCAAATCACGGCTTCCGGGGAACGTATGCCCGTGGATCATCCGAGTCCATCTGCACCCAACACTGAGACAATCACCGATAAAGTGACCATACATGCTTCTCTTGCCGCAACCGAGCAAGAACAACTCTGCTCTCTTGTAAAAGAGTATGAAGATATTTTCGCACACCAGGCGAAGATTGGTGAGTGCCCCTATGTGGAACTCAGTATTAACCTAGAGCACTCCAGACCAGTTCGTCGCCAACCCTACCGCCTCTCACAGCCTGACCGTCAGTTCCTCGAGAACCAAGTGCAAACTTGGAGGGAACAAGGCATCTGTCGCCCGTCCACATCTATGCATGCATCGCCAGCCTTCGTAGTGGACCAGCCTTTTCATGACACGACACCTCGACGTGTAGTCGTTGACTACTCCCGCACAATCAATCCGATCACTGTCGCAGATCCACAACCAGTTGACTGCATGGAAGACGCACTTCATGCAATTGCAGGTTCTCGTTTTATGTGTAACATGGACATCAAGAGTGCACTCTTCACAATCAAAGTGAAAGAAGACGACATGCACAAAACAGCCTTCGTCACCCAAGACCACCACGAAGAGTTTCTACGAATGTCTTTTGGGCTCAAGAACGGACCGCCGACCATGACAAGAGCCATCAAATTGGCATATTCGCACCTTCGCAAACTAGGTGTTGTCACCTACATCGACAACATTGCCTGCGCGCACAACAGTTTCGAAGACCACATCCAGTGCCTCCGCGAGATCTTCAAGGCCACACGAAGCATGGGTTTCACACTCTCGCCGACCAAGTGTGTCTTCGCCTCGCCAACCATCACGCTCCTCGGAAGAGTGTTGACAACAGAAGGCATACAGCCAGACCCTGACCGCACATCTGCTGTATTTCGGTATGCTACACTGACGTCCATACATGAGGTTCGCAGCTTCCTTGGATTTGCGAACACGTTTCGCAAACATATAGAGAACTTTGCAGTGATTGCAAGACCGCTTAATGAACTTCTGAAGACCACAAGCAAAGAAAAGAACAAAGAAACGCCCACTCAAGCACTTCAGCTTGCCCTCGACAATAGTCAGCAGGAATCCTTCGAGTCACTCAAGATGAAGATCACTTCACCGCCAGTCCTGTCCTTCTTCAAGCAAGAATGTCAGACGTATGTCGAGACAGATGCGTCACATGAAGGTCTTGGAGCCTGCCTCCTGCAAGACCAGAATGGCAAAAGACGTGTCATAGAATATGCCAGCAGATCCCTCAAAGACGCAGAAAAGAAGTACCACATCAATGAGCTTGAATGTACTGCTGTACGTTGGGCTGTGACCGAAATGTTCCGTCTGTACCTACATGGTCACAAGTTTGTGCTCATCACTGACAATTTCACTATGGCGTACGCAGTGAACAAAGCCAAGCTGAACCGCAAGTTTGCACGCTACATCGTTGACCCGGCAGCTTTCAATTTCACCGCCCTCCACAGGCCAGGCAAGGAAAATGTCATCGCTGATCATTTGTCCCGCTACCCTCTCCCCACCCAAGCATGTCTCGCCGTGCTAACATCACAAGATTCAGAGCTTGTTCGCACTCAGCAGACCGATGAGTACTGCCGCCAACTCCTTGACAAGCTACAGAAACAGCCCGACACGCATCATCTGAAGCAAATTCATAACTCCTTCAAGTTATCAAACTCGGTGCTAACTCACGTGACAACAGTTGGAGGTCATAGGAGAGAACAACTTGTTTTTCCCTTTGCATTGCGCTCCACAGTACTCCGCCTTTGTCATGACGAGAGTGACCATCTGAACAGTGAGAAAACGCTCGAACGAGTACGCTCCAGGTACTGGTGGTCAACACTACGCAAAGACGTCAGAGCTTATGTTCGGGGCTGTGAAGCATGTCAACGAACAAATCGTCGAACCACACTCGCCAATGGAAAATTGGGAGCCCTTCCGATTCCTCCAACGCCATGGGAATGCGTCTCAGGCGATCATGTTGTCTCACTGCCCCAAACGGAAGCTGGAAGCACCCACGTGTTCGTACAGATTGATCACGCCACTCGTTACCTTCTGGCGAGAGCCACGTGTTCGTTGCCGGAAGCAGATGTCATCGAAACCATCGAACAAGATGTCATTCAACGTTTTGGACCGCCATGCGTGTACATTTCCGACAATGGGCCCGGATTCGCCAGCCACACAACAGAGCAGTTCTTCAAGAAGTATGGCATCGAGCATCATCTCACACCTCCGTACACCCCACAAGCAAACGGACTTGTCGAAAGGGCCAATGCAACCTTAGTGAACACACTGAAGAAACTCGCTTTCGGGAACCCGCAGACATGGGACCAGCACTTGCCCGGTGCATTGCTGGCAATCAACACCGCAGAGCAAAGCTCCATAGGATACTCTCCATTTTTTCTTTTGCACGGGTATCAACCTCGCCTCCCGAGGGAACTTCACATCGGAACTATAACATCGGGCGACTCCCGTGAGGATCAACTCGACATTTTGCACGCTGCGGGGACCGATGCTGCGACGAACCTCCTACAGTCTCACCAAGCAAGCAAGCGACGCTTTGACCTGCATCGCAGTGACCACAAGTTCAATCCCGGAGACTTGGTACTGCACAGCTGGCCGCAAGCCAGTGATCACAAACTAACACCGCCCTTTAAAGGTCCATTCGAAGCCATCCGCCCTGTTGGTACAGTGTGGTACCGTATCCGAAAAGTAGGCAGTACAGAAGACAAGATCGTCCACGTCCAGACCTTGAAGCACTTCGAAGACCGACCACAGCTGAACCTGGCCCCAGACATATTCACGGAGCAAGAGGAAACACCGCCAATCCCAACCGAAGTGAGCCGCCCAAGACGTGCTACAAGACGCCCATGTCACCTTGGGGACTATGACACTGATTTTTGAAAAAAGAAGCTCGCAACGTCTTAGGGGCCATGTGCCAGTGTTTCTGTGCTAATTAGCCGTTTCTCGCTTTTTTTAAGGGCCATATGTGAGCAAGTGTCGCCATGTATCGTTGCATCGAACAAATGCTTATACTACTGCCACCTGTTGTACATTTTGATAAATAAATAGTTGTGATACCCAACAAAAGTATGTAAAAATGTCCAGCCTTGAAAACCACCATTTTAGGGCAAGGATTGAACGAACTTAACATGCAAGACTGTTTTCTTCGTGTCACGTTAAACATGCAATTAGTAAGCAAAGCAGATATAACTGGACTAAGTAAAATCATATTTTAAGGAAAAAAAAAGGTAGAAAAAGCCGCAGGCCTGCACCCGTCGCTTGATAATTGTGTAGAATCAGAATCATCTTTTATTTGTGAACAATAAGGCACATCCAGCAAAACTCTGGAACTTGAAGAGCTTGTCAGCCGCCATGAAATTTCTATTTCCAGTTCGCCTGTCGTCTGGGGCACTTTTGGCTCCTAGAAAAAAGAAAAAAGGAAGCCAAAATAAGTGTCAAACGTAAATTTCGTGCGTACACACATTTGGGTTAAGATTGAAATGTAGCTGTGACTCAATGTGTAAAAATTGATTACCATCTATACATAGTAGATGACCTATCTTGACCAGATTGCCCTTGATTTAAAACATTTTATCGCCCAAAGCAGCTTGAATCCAAAATATGAGAAATAATTTTGCATTCAGTGAATCCAACACCACCTAGATAAAAATTGCAAATTTTTTGCCTCACTAACGAAGTCTATCGCAGGGCACATATCGGACGCGAGTTAAAGTTGAATGCTGACGAAGAACTCTCGTCCATCTCCAGCGATGCAGGAAAGCTTAGCACTAAGCTTTCTTATCAATATTGAGTTGGTGGATATTCTGAGCAGTGATATATGCGTTCCTTGAAATATGAACACTGTTCTTAAAATTAAAAAAAAAAAGATGATACTTACACGAGTCTACCAATATCTCAGACCGCCGAAACCGTAGCCCAAACCGTAGGTACCGTAGCCGTATCCAAGACCATGGCCGTAGCCCCAAGCTGGAACATGGGCAACTGCCCCGTAGCCGGAGAAGGGGGTGGCACGGTAGGAGAAACTAGTACGAGCTGGGAAGCCGAGGTAGCCGGCGAGGGCGCAGGTGGCCAGGGCCAGGATGAGGAAGGTGCGAAGCTGAAAGTAATTTGAATAGTATATTCAGTCTAAAGGAGCATTTGCGTGGAAATATATAAATAGTTTTGAACACACTTTTTGTGTTATAAATGGACGAAGTATCAATGTGAGCTTGAATCATCATTATGGTGTTTGAAATAACCATTCTCGATCTAAAAGGCACCTTAAAAATGGGCGCCTGCGCGTAGCGATCTAGACTTACAGTCAAACTCACAGGTCGCGTTTACCTTGTCAAATTACAAGTTAATGCTCCTTTTCTGTAAAAATTAGTTCCAAATATCATGTCAGGGTAAACGGCGGACGGTGAGGCAGCCGACCGCGTCAAGTGGCTGGGCGCGTTTGGAGCACCTATCGATAGATGGCGTCGGTAGCAGCGTCGGAAGGTGTAGTCGACTAGCGAAAGAACTCAGACGACATGCAGACGAAATCGGTCGGTAGGAGCGCCGTGGTTGTACCAGCGTTTTTTTATCAGGATTTTTTACTTCGTTTTGTTTATGTTGTCGGCATTTATTTTTAAACCAAAGGTACACAATACATTACAAAAATATGATGTTCATTATAACATACCACCGCGTCTCGAGCAGTCTCGACTAGAGCTCCTGTATAGGCCAGAGTTGCGTGTTCATTCCCGCAGTGACGTCTTTCCTGCACGGCATGCTGATCCTGCCCTCACGTGACTGAATTTGGTTAGTAGCGACAGAACAATTGTCCTGTTTGTATCGTTCCTTATGTGTCTCCACTTTCTCAATGGTTAAAAATCAGCAACACGCTCAAATAGTGAAAGTTTAAGCCACTTCATCGTTTGCGTCGCCGTCCGCCGTTGATCCTGGCAAGCTCTTTGGCCCTATGTTTTTACAGAAAGAGAGCTAAGAATCTTTATTTTAGAAGACAAAAACCTACCTGAGAAATACATCTTCGACGAAAAGTTTAGATTGCTACATCAGGCGCGGATTTTCGAGAGTCATTTTATATCGAGCCTTGTTGTTTTCAGACTCTCTGTACATCTTCGGTCCCAAACTGACAGAGGTTAACTCCACGTTTGCTGAAAAAAAACTACTTGCTGTTTCCGGTCGGAATGAGCAAAATGCATATATGGTATTCACAAGTAGACATATAGTAACAGATTTTTTTTTTTAAATCTTGAATAACCCGTTTGCTTTACTTGATGACATCTTTAAAGTGCCACTAATTATTTTAAACAGTAAGTTCACGTGTCTTGTAAAAATTCGATTTTGCTACAGTTTATCTTAAATGGACCTGGCTAATGAAGGGAATCATCTCAAAAATACATTTCATCGTATATTTTTAGTTCGAAATTAACGTAACGTTTTCCTCAATGCTGTTTCGAAAACATTTAAACAGGTACAGCTAGGTGTATAGAAAGTAGAAAGAGTACCCTCTATTATAGACCAACTGCTTGTTTGTTTGAAGCTCATATTTTTGCTCAGAAAGTGAAGTTCAAAAGTGATAAAATTAGTTGTCAACAAATGAGCAAAAATATATATTCCATTATATGTTAAATATGACAATTTATTTAATAAGTATCCGAATACTGGGAGATAGCAAGTTATGAGCCATTACAATCAGTTTGCTCTAATAACAAAAAAAAAGTGAAATATTCGCCAAGGAAGTCAAGATTTAGGCACCTACCATGATTGGATGTTAGGTCGGCCGAGACGGTCACACTAATGGAGCGCTTAACCCACCGGCCTCTTTTATAGGGCCTCTAATGTGGTGGCCTTGGAACCCCTAAGTGAACGAGAAGTGTGTTAGCATTTCGTCCGCTCTAAATTTAGTGTCAACAAGGGGGGAATAAAATGACTAAAATATCGACGTTAGAATCAAACTAAAACTTCTGAAGAGCACGTTTCATGGATAAAAATATCTCGCTATAGTCCTTGAGTCTGCAATCAGCAGACGTTAACTCGGCCACCATTTATTACGTCCGGCGTTTATATTCGATTACTGCTTTTTTGGAACCTGCTGTGCTCGCAGTTGGATATTTTTATTGGGCTTCACGCAATCGAGTTTTATGATCGCGAGATATTCAAAGCTCTCCTCTTGCTAACGTTTGGGCTCGAGGAACGGTCCCGATTGGCTCACGCAGCCCCGCCTGCTCGGCAGTCCTACACCAGCAGTGCCCCTGCCGGACACGCGGGAAGCCCTTACAAAAGTTTGGCCCCTTTTTCTGTTCAGAAATCTCTCTCTCTTTTTTCTCTAGCACCGCGTTCTTGATGCGATAGACGTGCTTTAAATGGGTCACGTGCTGTCGTCTGTAAGCTGTTAACCTCTCTGTTAAGTTTTTAAGTACGACTAAAAAACAACCAACGTTATCTCTACCATGAAGTAAAACATAGCAAAGAATTTGATACTGTGGATATTGCAGCGACAATGGGAGATGATATTGTAATTTTCAAAGTTGAAAGATAATAGTCTGATCACAGCACGGCTGAAAGGACACATTCGGTCAATATTAATTAATTAGGAATTACGACTATCTTCAGCTCAAGTTGTGTCCCTCAATTATAAGGTATAATTTGTTTCTCGATGTTGTGTGAACCACTGGCTCTGGAAGATAACGGGTAAGCGCCCATCCCACTTTCAAGAAGAAGTTCATATTGACATGGGCGCTTGTCTGGTCAAATCGGGCGCTTCAGGTATAATTTGCTGAATAGCCAATTTTGGGAAATGTTTTTAGTGGACACTTGAACGAATTGGGCGTTTCCGAGGTATTTTACGGTAGTTTTATAAGCATCGCGGCTCAAAGTTTCGTTTCGGGTGTTTACGGCAAAACCGAAACTGTCTGCTAGAGGGATGGCAACACTGATCATATGCAGTACGGCCGGTCTAGGTACGGTCTAGCAACCCCGAACGGGTGAATCGGCGGCGATTTGAAACCGCCGGGTTAAATTGTTTTTTCGCCGATTAGTGTAGAGGTGGCAGTGCGACGGATATCTTTCAGAAGGTGTATAGGAATACCGAGACCGCTACCAGCGGACCACTTGGGTTCGGCGCGGAGCCGCGACCATGGGGCAATCAAGAAGCCCTTCCTCCGGAACGCTCAACGACCTGTTAGGCCTACCAACCGGGCGCTGTAGGGCGCAAGTGTTTTTTCGACGCGGCGTATCGGGGCACAGCTAAACGACGGAATCTAGCGGTTGTGGCTGGGGCGTTACGGACACCAGGCAAGGGAGGCACCTAACATCATGACTCCACGGAGGAAAACAATGACAACCAGTCAAATGGAAAAGGCAAAGTAGAGGGGAAAGCGAGACAAGGCTGCAGTGGAGTGCGAAGGCTGTGAGAAATGAGTGGATATCAGCGAGACACCGTTCGAATCATGCACGGAGGCGGAGAACAGTACGTATAAATGTAATGAGTGCAAGGAAAATGAGTTGAGAAGAAGCATTTTGGAGGAGGAGATTGAACGGCAAGTTAATGCCTTGAGAGAGGCAATGAGAGTGAAGCTGGAGGAGGCAAAGACAGAGAGAGCGGCCATAGAAAGTAGGATGTTGGCGAAGCTCGAAGAAGAGAGGACCTTGAGAATAGCGAAGGAAGAAAAACTGAAGGCAATAATGCAGGAGGAAAGGAACAAGAGAGAATAACTAGGGGAGGTGTTTAATGACTGGATGAAGTCATGTGAACTAGCGCAAATGACGGTCAACGGGGCAGAAAACGCGCCGCAACAGCTGGAACCGGGAAACGGGGTCAAAGAAAAGAAGACCTACCACACAGACGGGAAAGAGACAAATAGCTTTTCCCAAGAACGGACGAGAAGTGGAGATCTGGATGAGGAGCAGGACGGACAGACGACTGAGAGCCAAACACAAAGAGGCCAGCACAGAAACTACAAGGAGGCCCTCATAAAGCAGAGGGCAGACCCAGATGACGGGACAAAGAAACAGGACAAAGAGAAGATGGTGGACAAGAGAATATTAGTGGTAGGGGACACTAATGCCTTGAAGATAAACAGAGCCACACAGAAGGTGGTAGATTACAACAAGTTCACTTTGCAGCTAAGCCGGGAGCACAACTGGGAGAGTCACTGGAGAGAGCAGAGAGGGATGGGAAAATATGGAATGCAGAGGGCAGGGATGGTGGTCATACATGCAGGAGTGACAGACGTGCAAGGCGAAGAGTCGGTGGAAGAAATGGCAGCGGGGCTAGGGAAAAGGCTTGAGGACTGGATCACGAGAGCCCCGAAACACTCTTTTATGGTGTATGATGTCCCAGAAATCAAAGACAAGGGGGACCCACTTAGAGAGAGGTGCGCCAAGTGGAACAGGCTATCAAGAGAGATCAACCAGCAGCTGGTACCGAGGGTGGAGGTGGTAAAGAACACAGGAACGGGAAATAACATGGAAGATGGCTGCTACAATAGAGATGTGGCAATTGAAGAGGGACAAGCACTGGGTAACAGACTAAAACGTCTTTTAGGACTGAAATGCAAGGGGAAAAGCTTGACACCGATGAAAAGGCGACAGGAAAGAATGGAGGCAGGCTGACTCTGGACCAGAGACTACAGCGACTCGAGGAAGTACTCCAGAGGATGTGTCCCCCACAGGGACATGCCCACTAAGAAGAGAAAGTAGGAGAAATGGTGCCTGCAACAACACGAGAGGCGGAAAACACGAAAAGGCACCAGACCAGGAAACAAGGAAAAGCAGACGATCAAAAAAGAAAAAGAGGGAAGTGAAGATTGCCTTTCTAAACCTGCAGGGAGGAAGGAAAGCAGGAAAATGGGTGGAGGCCTTTCAGATGTTACAAGATGATAAGATTGGAATGTTCGCAGTCACAGAAACCCACCTCAGGGATGAAGAAAGACCCCCAGATTGCGAAGGGCTTTTTTTGGGGTGAGGTAAACAGAGAGGGCAGTGAGAGAAGGGGAGGGGGGCTAGGATGCTTTAGTGGGCCAGGCTGGCAGAGAGAAAGTCCAGAGTGCAGAGAGCACATGTGGTCGACGGGGATACTGGCGGGGAGAAAGGTGGCAGTAGCAGTGGTGTACCTGTGGACGGGGGCGGACAGCAGGGAGACAAACATCGAGTTAATCAAGTGCATTGAAAAAGACTATCACAACATGGGGAGACCTACCATTATGGTAGGCGATTTCAACGCACACCTAGAGGAGTTCGATGGGAGAACAGACGGTAATGGAAATTTGCTGCAGGACATGGTGGAACACCTGGACATGGTAATCGTCAACACACAAGATAAATGCATAGGAAAGACGACATGAACGGCCAGAGGGATGAGCTGTACAATTGATTATTGCCTGGTGTCCCCGGACCTGTATGAAAAACTGAACTACATGGAGATAGACGAGGAAGGCGACAAGAGCTTGGGAAGTGATCACGACAGATTGCTGATCACTTTCGGAGGAAAGCCAACAGAAAAGAGAGTCAGCGAACATATGAGACCACACAACATAACGCAAGCAGAAGCACAAACCATTGTACAGAAACTGGAGGAAGAGGTGGAAACCAGGCAGGTGGAGACGTACGGGACCCTCATGCGGTGGTGGAAGGACCACCTGGAAAGACTAAAACGACCGACACGAAGAAAGAGGAGGAGAAAATGAAGGTGGGATATGGAGGTGAGGGAGGCCATTACAACAAGGCAACTGGCAAACAGGACTCTGCGTGGGACCATCAGAAAACGAAAGGAGGAGAGGAAAGCCCCCCTACAGAAAGATTCAAGAGAGTGTAGGGAGTACCAGAGCAGGAAAATGGAGGTGACAGCTTTGATTCAAAGCGAAATGGCCAAGGTAGATAAGAGATTCCTGGAAGAACTGAGAGAGGCAGGACGTGAGGCCCCACTGAAGTTCTGGCGACATGTACAGGGCCAAACAGGTCGACCCAGGGAGGATGCGGTAATCAAAGACTATGCGACGGGAAAGGAACTGGATCCAGGAGAGACCAACCGGTACATTGAGAGGTGGATTGGGGACATGTTCACAGGGGACAGCAGACAAATGGACAGTGAGGAGGGGGAGACGGAGGACGAACTGCAGGAGCAACCGAGCTGAGAGGAAATCACGGAGAGGGAGTTAAAGAGAGCAGTCAAGAGGATGGGAGGAACCACAGCCACTGGAATGGACGGAATCCCAATGAGGCTGGTGAAGGATCTGGGGCCAGAGACGAGAGCACTGCTGCGCGAGATCCTTAACCAGATCCTGAAGGAGGGACGGGTGCCGGTGGAGTGGCGAACCTTAAGACTCAGACTCATCCACAAGGAAAAAGGGCAAAAGTCAACGCTCAGCAACTACCACCCCATAGCCATCACATCGGTACTCTACCGCGTGTTCACACAGATAATACGAGACCAACTGCAGACATGGGCAGAGGCAGAAGGAGTCCTGGGGGAGCCACCAACTTATTAACCCAAAAGAGACTACAAAAACGCGTTTCAGTCGAAGGATAGCCAGCATACCTTACATTCATAATGCTTCCCATCGTATCCGATCCATTGCATCACGCTATGACACGAGAGTTGTCTTTTCTAGTAGATTCAAATTGGCAAGCATGTGCAACATGATCAACCAACAAAAAGCCAAGCCGGCTTGCGAAAAAAAGCACGCCACCCTTTTCCGGACCTGCTGCTCAAAACGTTTACTCCATCCCTCTCAAATGCGGTGCCGAGTACGTGGGACAAACCGGCCGATGTATCAATGACCGCTTGAG